GGGTGTCCAACTTTTTTATGTGACTTAAGTTAGAAGTAAAACCTGGGCCATTAGTTAGTTTATAAAAAGTACTTTTCATAAACACCTATATCATCTCATTTGAAAATCAGATGGAGAAATAGAGTACGTTAAAAGTTATCCAGGTTTGTTGTCAAATGATAGTAAAATTGCTGTCTGAAAACATGCAACATGCCACGGTGCATGACACTTGTGTCTAGGCATGTAGAACAGAAAGGGGGAAGCTGGGGCACATGTGCACAAGCTACAGTGCACTGCCCTGTTTTTCATGACTTGTTGATTTCTAACTGTTTTTGAACCTTTTTTTCTAATTTTTTTAAACCTTTTTACTCCTATGAGATATCGCATGCTTTCAAAATATTATTCTACTCTTATTTGAGCTCTAATAAATAATGTTTTAATGAAAATGATTTATGAAAACTTGAGATCACATTTATACAAAATTCAAACTTGGTAATCTAAAAAGGGGCTCAACCTATGATTACCTTAGTTGTGTAATTAATTGTGTTTGGTAAAGGAGATATTTCAATACATACTGTGCTTATAGATACAAGTAAAATACAAGATTAAATGACAATTTAATCCTTAAATCGGTTTGATGTGTTTAGGATCTTAAATTTATTTTTGACAAAATATTACTATTTAATTTTTAAAAATAATACAATGTCTTTTTCAATGTTAATAAAAGTTAACTTTAATTGTTAGTTTACAAAAAAATTATTAAAAAAAGACTTCAAAAATGATGGAAAACAACCTATAAATTGTAAGTAAAGACTCAAAATTACAGCAAATAGCTGAGAATTTTTTTAGCAAATAACCCTCACTAATCAAGAAAACAGAGGTTAAGTGTTTAACTTTTTATAATATTGAATAATTGAAAAATAATCTATTTATTTTTCCTAATTAAACTATGAATGAAGTAGAGCTTCTATGCTATGAATGATATAAATTTCTGTTTCCCATATTAAATGCCATAAATGTAACATTCCAAGAAAAAAAGAAGGGAAAATTACATATAGATTCTATGGAGTAGATTTACTTATAAGTCCTGCAAAATTTAGAAACTATAGCAAAGTTTATTAGAACCTAAGTATAATTTTAAATTGAGGTACAAAGTTGTAACATCTTAAAATTTAATTTTTAGATTGAGTAAATTAATTAGGGGAAAATAAGTAATTTAAATCTTAGATTGATTTGAGAATGGTTAAAGATAGTTAATAGGCCTATCAGGTTTCGTCTACAACTCTTGAATTGAGCCTAGAGGTGTATTAGGCTGTTTGGTCTGGCTATCTTTATACGATACACTGCGACAGATGGTTAAAGTTATGAATTAAATGAGTTTCAAGCACATGAGAAAACAAAAGAGGATTTTCAAGGAAAATGAAAGGCTTGTGGCTTACCTTGCTAGGGCACAAGTTCTTGAAGTCTTGAGGAAGATTTGAAACTTCTAATTACTTTGGGTAAGTTCATTCAACCTTCCTTCTCTCTACTCTATTTTTGAGCTATGGTCCATAGAGGAGATGATGATTTTCAAATTTCAGGACTATAGGTCCAAACCTATTAGTCTAAATAAAATTAATAAGAGTTGATTAAACTTTTCATACCTAGATTTGAAATTTCTTTAAGGATGAGAGGTTGGATCTTAGGTTTTGGACAAACCCTGGATACTTTAATGATAATTTTAGGTTGTTGGACATTATCATTGATATTATTTAAGTTAATAGAAGTTGAATGGAACTTATGGAGGAAAATGTACCCATTGGTTGTGAGAAAACCTAAGGGTTTGAAATTTTAGGAAATTAAAATGTGAAATTAGAGAATTTGAAATGGGTTAAATGATAGTAATGTTGACAATTATATTATTAATAGTAGATTAATTATGATGTGCACCATTTGAGCTTGATTCTGGCTTGGGAAGCAAGTTTAGTTGAGGGGTAACTTTTGGTATCCTAAAAGTTTGAGATAATCGAAGGAATCTATTTTATGTTATTGCTTGTTAAAGTAACTGTAGGTGTTTATGAACTAGAAATTATATTATCTGTATATATAACTTTATGGATATATATGTTGTTTTCATTTTGAAAATATGCAAGTATGGCTTTGTATATTAATGTAATTGTGAAATATTGAAATGATGTTTTAGACTCTTTGAAATTGGAAGAGTTATAGATAAAAATGAACATGATGATAACAATTGAATATGTTATGTGATGAGTTCGCGTGATTATATTGATGGTGCGAGTTTGTCTTAATAGAGTAATGATTTGTGTCTAAATGGATCACACCAACACCGTGAGGCCTCAGTGTTTAGTCCTTGACTTTTACCTTTAAATCCCTCCTAGCGAAGGTTGTAATAGGATTTACCCTTAAACCCTATTTAACAAAGTTGGCAATAGCTATTTGTGTTACCCCTGTGTTTTAAAAGGGAAAATTCATGGTCTGAGAATGAATGTGAAGCCTTTGGCTGAATCAGCCCTCATGATTGGAGAGTTTGGACTAACATAATTACATAGGTCTAGTACCTAATTATTTGTGGCCCATGGATTATATCAGCAGTGATGGAAGATTGGAAGAGCTTGATGATAATGCATTGCATATTGTAATGTGTTTCATAATGATGTGTCATTTATATAATTGCCCACTTTACATGCCTATAGTTAGTTGATTTACATGTGCATGTTTTATATTTTATTAGTTATTGAATGGTTGTACTTACTCCTCTTTCACATATTATAAGTGCTAACTATAGTCAGGGCAAAAGGGGAAAACTTGAGGCCTAAGGTACTAATCCTAATGTAATGCCTTTGTATTTAAATTTATATGTAATTCAATATGATATTGTCAACTAGGATTTATTTTTATTATACTTGTACCATATGCATATTCCTGCATTTTTGGTCCATGATTATATGTATTAATGATTTGTACATCTGGGCTAGGCTTAAATATTAGTGAAAGTGTAAATATGATTATTTTATTACATGTGAAAGCTTATTTTGGAAACTAGTATTGGAAACCTCCCCTTTTTTATTTTTATGAATTTGAAGTTGAGAGTTGAAAATGAAATTAATGAAGGTTTCGCTTGACGTGGTGCATTGTACAAGTGGCTCTAAGTCCGTTGAGTCTAATCTACTTGTGGTTGTAAGATTTTGGCACTTTACAGTTTCAAAAGTTAAGTGTTAAAATGTGATTAGTGTAGTTTCCGTTGTCCAACTTGATAATATGAATTACTTTGAAAATGAAACGATGACATTAGCTAGTTCACTAAATAAGTTTTTTATAAACATCTAGATTATCTCATTTAGACTTCATATAGGAATTAGGATCGAGCCAAAAGTTTGGCCCTAGATTTGTTATGATAGTAAGTTGTTGTCATGAGTTATGTGCAGTGCACCACAGAGGGAAGCACCTTTGCTGCGATGCATGTTACAAAAGGTTCGAGCCATGACAAGTAAGTTGCTTGGTCACCACAGATGACTTTTTGTCATCAGCTTCAGTGCAAGGGTGTATGTCACAATGTACAACCTAGTTTTTGGGAAAAATAGTTTTATTCCATTTAAAAATGTTCTTTGACCACTATTGGTATCCCATGCTTTTAAATGTTTGCAAAATCTGATATTTACTTTTTTTTTTTTGCTTTGAAAAGTTAATTTAGTCATATCAAACCTTGGGATCCCATATTTAAAAATGATTTTATGATAGATATGAATCTGTAACTATTGTACCATGGTAGAATCCCTTCTGCCATGGTAGGGTTTAATTGTATGATTGTGGATGGTAAGTTAAATCTTAATAGCTACAGTAGACATTTGAATTAAGTCTTTTCCTTTTCTATTATGATTAGATATTCTTATAATTGCAGTTAAAGGTTTGTCATGGTTGGTTCCTTGACATGGGTTATTGCCTAATTATTTTGATAGATTGTAATTACAATGGTTAAGTATGTGTGGTAAGTTATGATGATACTATAAAGACATTAATATCTCTATTAAAAATAAATTGCATTATTCAAGTAATTTTATTCTATCATTAATTTACAAATCAATTTAACTTTTTATTATTGTAACTTTACATATCCATTATTTAAAATGATTATGCGTTACAAGTTTAATACTGATTGTATACAATTATCTCATCAGTAATTTACAACTATCACTTCAATATTTTACAACTAAAACTTCACATATCCAATAAATAAGGTTAGTATTGTCTTTATACTCTAATTTTAAATGATACTCAAATTTCGAGGGATTTGATTGTGATTTTTAAATTTTATGAGACTTACTTGTAAATAAATCTATTTCACATGACCTATTCATAAATTTCCTAAAAAAGAGTTCAAGGAATTACATTAATGTTAAATATATTCAAAAGTTTGTTTTTCTAATCAAAATGTACATAAAAATAGCGCCTCTTGTAGAAGATGCATTGAGTAAAATATATAAATTATTACTGTTTCCATAATGAATTCCATGAATGAATGTGATATGCCCGGTGAAGAAAAAGAATGTCAGGAGTATTTATTAAAATTCATTCACAAAAATTATTTTCCTAATTATAGTACAAATGAACATGCTACAGAGAATAAAATACTATAAATTACTGTGTGTCCCGCAATGAATGCTGGAAATGCAATGAAACATTCAGAGGGAAAAATAAGAAGAAAGGAAATGAATTAAGAGCACCAAATCAAATTCATTTATGAGAGGAAATCACAAGTCATAATGACTCTAGTGTTATAAATATTCAACAATACTAGATGAGCAATTTCACAAGAAAAAGGAAAAAAGCTTGCAGGTAGCATCATGACAGAAGCAATGAAGATCATCCTCGTGGCACTAGGTACATAATACAAACCATTAAACCTATACATATACAATGCATGGTAATTATAATTTGGATGATACTGAGGATATGTATATATATATGGTGATGATGATGATCATGTGGTTAATATATATAATGATGCAGTGGTGGAAGCAATGGTGATGATGGGGAATGCAAATGTATGCTCAGACGTGGTGGGAGTGGGAAATCCTTGTAATGCAGCACCAGGAGGGGCCTGCTACAACGATTGTATTGCGAAGCATTCTAATGGGAAGGCAGTGTGCGAGGGAGGCACTTGCATGTGCTATTACGAGTGTGCGGGTCCTCCCACCAAGAAATGTAATGTGGGTTTGGGAAGGTGCAGTGCTGATTGCCAAGATCAATGCTGTGCCTCCAAGTGTTCTTCTTCCCATCCTGGTGGTGTTGGCTACTGCGATGACAGTTTGGGCAAGCAAAATGCCTTGTGTCAATGCCAGTACCCTTGTTAGTTAATTCACTCTTATTCTACTATTCAAACTTGTACTTGATTTGATTCTCTTTGTTTCTTCACTCTGAATAATATATACTTTGATTAATGCCTTGGTACTATCTATGTAAGAAAAGGCAAAAATTGGAGAAACAAGTTTGATACATAGAGTGGATGGTGATGGGCTTGGAAGTTGGAGCTCATGAGTTTGCCTAAAAGGAAGCCTTGCTTTCTGGTTTTAAGGAAGCTAAAGACGGATTATTCTTTGGGATAATTCCGTCTCCCAAGGAACAGTCTATGCCACGCCGCTGCTTTAATATTAGTATTATTTAATAATCATGTCGCTAATTAAACTCGCACTAGTCTTCACATTATCAGAATCTTTACTTATTTAATATATTTATGAGATAGTGCTCGTATGATGAAAATAGTACAACCTGCAAACATAGACAACTCACACTTGTTAAATAGTAATGATTATGCTTATGGAAATCAAGGTTCCGAAGCAGAATTTCCATTATCTTAGCTGAGTTATTTTCCTTTGTCGTCATTTGACAAAGTATATAATTAGCTGAACCATTTCAATTTCAAATTTAGAGGATTTTCGTAATCGTTATTTCATGGATTCAATTTCTTTGGAGGGGTTGTTGAGGAGGCTGCCTCGCTCTGTACTACAGTAACGATACCTACAAGTCACCAGAACCCCTTTAATGATGTTGCATCATTTCAGTAGTTCTAAAAGCCAGAATTTTGTGTGAAAAGCAAAAGCTGAATTCACGAAACAAACCATAATGACACACATGTATATATTAGAGAGAACAGCGAACATAGTCAATGATAGCTGAAAGTGATCGACTAAAAAAGTGCTTTTCTTTACGTGTGAGACCAATCTCAAGCAAAGCGGACAAGCAAGTCTCATATCTCGCCTTTTAAAATTCATATTTCAAAGAATGTGCTGCACATGCGTGTGCCACTTAACTAGTCAGTACTCGCGCACTGCTTCCTGCTTTTGCCTTTTCAAAATTGAACAATTTTTTGTTTAAAAGATTGTTACTTTGTCGAGTTTAAGTGTACCCCAGCCATTGGTAATAGTTGGCCGAAGCCTGACCATGAAGCACACCAGCCATTTCATTTCCTCTTTTGGTCAGTAGAAAAGTGTTTGTAGTAGCTGTAAAGTCAAAGGCAAAACTGGTAGACCACGAACAAGCACTGATAGGGAATAAAAGCTATGTTGTTGAAAATATTACAAGTTGATTTCAGTGGGGTTTAGATTATTAAAGAAAGTAGTAAACGATAGCAAGGCAGGCGGCTTATGCTAATATGATCACCAAGGCATTAATAATTGGTTATACGATAAAGTGGGATTTGATCAGTACTATTTGAGAGTGCATCATAATATTGACAAAATACGGATCATGGATTATGATTTTGAGAACATTAATTAATGAACTATTTTAGCCACGAGTCCAAGACATTTAAGAAAGAAAGAGAGAACAAACCGACTTTTAGGTTCTCCAGGTTGGAGAGAAGTGTGATTTGTTTCTCCCTATAGATCAAGAGAGAGGAAATGCAAGATGATAAAGTTATCTCTTGGCAACAGAAATAATAAGTTAAAAGAATCCAATCTCACAGACTTGAGCACCCTTTAATCCGACTGTATGCGACTAGCTATATAAGCAATCTGTTCTAAGTGCAGATATAAAGGCCATTAATAGTGACCCCATTACGAAGAATTAAATGCGGCATTTATTGATCCATGCTGATCGAAACTTCCACAAATGAAGAATGTCCGTTGTAATTAAAAAGACGAGTTGAGTAACTGCGAAGATTCTTTTCCAAAAACATGTTTTTTTTAATAAAAATATTTATTACTCCCTCCAAATTGTCAAATAAGTTGTTTTTTAAAAACCCCGCTTGTGTGACTTTTATTTTACTTAATGGTACAACTGGTAAAAAGGAGAAAATTTTTAAAAGAAACCAAGATTTTATTTTTTTAAATATAAATTAGTTAATAATAACTTATTCCGTTGGCCCAATTTGTGAGGCAGAGAAAGGAAAAAATTTAATCTTATTTATAGAATACTTGTCAATTTTTAATACTTCTGTTTACATTTTTTTATTAAATGTTTTAAATAAAAATACCATTGAATATTTATTAAGGGTAAATGTAAAAATTTATTAAATTTTAAGATAAAATTAATGAGGTTTGAGGTTTAAGTTTTTTTTTTTTGAATGAAACATGCTAGAAGTAACTTATAAATAGGATCATATGAAGTATATTGTAATTCAAAAGAAATAATGTTACTGCCTCTATCCAAATTATAAGACACTTTTAGATAAAATCTCATATAATAATAAACCTTATTAAAACACTTAACATTATTTTTCCAAAAGAAAAATATAATTCTAAAAATACCCATAATTTAATATATTAAAAAGAGAAGGAATAAAAATTAATTATAAAAAGAGTAATGATAATATTAAAATTGGTGCATTTAATGAAACCTTAACTTATTCAAAGTGTCTTATACTTTAAAATGAAAAAACTCTTTTAAAAATACCTTATAATTTCACACGAAAGTAGTATTATTTAATCATATTCAAGTATTGTTGGACCAATTGAGAAACAACCCTCGCAACATGTTTTTTAATTCATAAGGTTCAAGTCTTTAACCAAAAAATAAAAATCAAGCCTCTTTAATAACATCCAACTATGATCGTACTGAATAAATGAATTTATGCATCTTCAGGGTTGCACAGGCTGTACTTCTCCCTGTCTAAAATACACTCCACTTTATTTAAAATATAAGTAATTTTTAATAATAATTCACATATCAATAGTAACACAATTTTAACCATCCATCAAGCCTTGCCACACTTATATTTTTTTCTTTTCTTTTCTTTTTTTTTTTTACGGAAAAAAGGGCGTCGAGCATTTGACGGCGAATTTTGTTGCATATGATGCCAAGTCCGTTGGCAAGTCATGCGAAAATCATGCTAAATTCAGACAGAATATAGAGCTGAAGTTGGATGTCTACAGCAGGAATCACCAAAACAAAACAAATATGACTGTCATACAAAGTAAACAAATAATTTAATGACCAAACTCTATCAGCTAGCACCACGGTCTTGTCAGCTCAAACATAAAATGCTGGCAAGGCATATCAGCTTCAGGGTATGACTTGGGATTCTCACAGAAGAAGGAGGGAAAGAGATCGGAAGATGTGATTGTTAAAAGATGAATAACTGCTATGCTAGTATAAATTTTCTCACTTCTACTAGTTGCCTGAAAGGTATATGGTGTTACAGGCCAAATGACTGATCAAAGAGCATATATATGGACAACTTCAATCTGTCAGTATTGTATCAGCACCTATAACCTATCATCAAGTCCTTCTAGTCCAAGCTACAGAGCCATGAGAACGAGACAGTGATCTTTTAGATAGCAATGCTATGGAAGAAAGGAGGTCGGCAATCTTTCTGCAGCGACCATCTTAGAATGCCTGAAGCTCTCACAGCCTGGGCAGTTGTGCAAGCTCTCATGAATATAGATGTCGCAATCAAGGCAGAAATGCTGTTTGCATTTGGGGCAGATAACAGAAAGACCGGGCTTGTTTCCTGTACCACAACCAGTAGGGCAGAGATGGCATTGAGAAATCGAGCAACAATGATATTGTCATTTGTCACATTGAGACATCGTACATACGATAACAAAGCCATTTGGAAAAAAACAGGAACGGCATAGAATTTTACAATCTGGTTAGCTGATATTTCTGTTGATTCTCAGCAGTCGGCCTATGTTTTTCTATGCCATACACACAACGAATAAATACTAAGATACCTTAAACCAAAAGGCGTTAACTTGTTCTTTCAGATAATCAGATGAGACCAAGACCTTTAAAATTCGAGTTCTTTTTTAGACTGAGATTTTCACTAACTGTAATTCAAAAACCACCCCATCTAAGTGGGGCACCTAAGCAACCACAATTTTTCAAGGTTAGGTTCACTTGCAGAAGTTTACTGTCAATTCACAGATGCGTCACCATAATGACAGGAACGCGAAGATTTATGTCTTGGAAAAATGATTGATGTTCATCATGCACATTGAAGAAACTCGAGTTCAATTGCCTCTCTGTAAACCTTACCCGGATTAAGAAGACTTTGTTGACACCCAAAACAAGAGTTGGGAGCCTTCTGATGTGGGTCTTTTCGGGATGATGGAGACACCTCATCAAAAGGCACTATTGGGAAGAGATGATGATATGACCTTGCCAAGTGGGGTGAAGAGATAAGAGTCAATCCACAGATACGACATTCAGTGGGAAGCTCACAAACACGTACTTTGCATCTTGGACAAGTGTATCCACCACCTTCCTTAGCCTCTTCATGACATGTACAAATTGCAATGGAACCCTCAGCTGCTCTTTGAGGAAAACCCATCTTGATTAAACTAGCAGTAGCATACTCTGCTATCGCTGGGGGTGGTGGTGCATGCTCAAGAATTAGCTCTTTCAAGTGGGCCTACATAAAATGTGACTGTTTGAAGACAAAAATTATCTAAAAGTTTACAAGATTAACATACGGAAGATGTGAATCATATGCAATGCTAGAAAGACAACCTTTGATATTCTAAATCCTTTTATAGAATCTTTAGACCAGGGCTTTCCCAGGACAACAAAAGCTCAAACACTTTTATAGAGGGGAATGATAGACAGGGCTAATTAAAACCAACAACTTCAACTAACCTCATCCACTGCAACAGAGTATGTTCCTCCAGTTTCTTGACAAAGATGTCTGCATACAAACATTTCAGCAGCAAGACCAATGACTGAGCATCTTATTTTACCCTTTTTGCATTTCTGGATGGTTTCCATTATATCACCAGGATCACAAGTGTTAAGAGCTGAATATAAGATCAGAACCTCTCGATGACCATATGATGGAATTTGATCTAGATAGCCATGAACAAGTTCTAGTGCATTTTGTAGGGAAGGGTCACCTGAGCATTCCATTTTACACATCAAAGCTCTAATATGGGACTCAGGACTGCCACCAAGTTCTGTTAAGCAATGAGCAACTCCATCCTTGATAGTCACAAGACCAACATGACTCAGTGGGTTCTGATCAAAAAATTCCCTGATAAACGCCTCAACTTGTTTTCCTATCACAGCCATCCTACATGGACGAAAGTCTGTCTCTGCTGCTGCCTTCACATGATGAGAAAAACCAAGTTCCGTATTAGAGAATGGAGGGAAGGGAATTAGGATTAACAGCACATGTATGTACCTACATTGTTACATTTTTTATCCCTTTTTTTTTTTTGCAAGTCAAAGCATAATATTTTATTATGTACATCTCTTTGAAAATCTTCTCCTGATATTCTCATGGCCTCAATTTTAAGCCATATACCAAGTATTTGGGGCGATAGACAATCCCTAATGTCCTTTCAGGCATAAGTATTGCTAAGCATGAAAAAATTAATATAAACGTAACATGCTTATAAACAATATAGTAAACCTTTAATTTTATAACTCTAAAGTGCACATCTGATGAAGAATATCATAAGATTAATTCACAACGGGGAGATATGCTAATAAAAACAAAAGAACAAAGAAATAACAATACAAACAAAAGAACAAAGAAATAACAATACAAAACAAACAAGTATCTAAGGCACATGGAAACAATCAATACATAGATTGAAATCAATTGCAGCCACAGAAATTAAGTAAACTTAACTTTTAGAAATCTACCACCTATATGTTCTATTTAGGCATCACATCCTCACTATGTCCTCTAATTAAAAGCCAATGTTATGATTAGGGATAATCAAAGCATTGTTCCCTATTGACAAAAGGCCAACTTGCAAACATCAATATAAAATATAGTATTCACACATGAACTATCAAGTGATAAATAGAATACCTTAGACAGGTCAATAACAATATAAAGGTAGCGAATAAGGCCCTTCTGAATCCGAGTAGCGCCTGCTGTTGAAGCCAGAGCTCGAAGACGCCTGCGATACTGAGCATGGTAAATGGCCTTATTATCTATTGGACGAAGCATCCCAGATTCATCCTCCTGCAAAGATTCCCATGATCTATCCTCCGCATAAGTTCTCTCCCATGCTTCAAGACCTCCCCCATTTGCTTCATCCTCGTCATCATCTTCTTCTACCCCTCCATTAAGTGGTCTTTCAGCACTATTATTCATATTTTCTGAACCCAAACTAGCAACGGTTAATCAAACAAAGGAAGCAGCAGCAATCATTCAATCTATGTATCATATTTCGCTCCACAGATAATCTGACAAGAATATGTTTGCTAAAGTTATGACAAACGAACCAATTATTTACAAAGAGGACAGTAAATATGAGCTCAGGCTACAACGGGGCAACACTTCTGCAACGGAGACGCATACTAAAAACAAATCAGAGAGCAAGATTTCAAGGGGGCGATGATAAATTAAACACAACATGTTCCGAATAGGCACCAAAGTAGAAGCATTTTTCTAAAAAGTAAGCCACGATGATCAGGAAATAGAGTAAACTATCAACCTTAATTACCAGAAGTCCTAAGAAAATTTTTAGCCATAACACTCATTCACCAGGACATGGGAGTGCAGGTTGCTGATCGTGTAGGGGTTTGATCGTTGACAATTTTAGCCATGTTGCTCATTTAGGAAATTCAGCAGATAAAATAACAAGTACAAAATATATCCACAAAAAGGTTCGATCCAAGACAGCAACAAACAGTAGAAAACTGAATCAAATAAGTTTGAAGCAGAGGGAGTCCCCGAAGAATAAACAAATAAATAACAAATTTGAGGCATAGATTTGCTTAATGGATCAGGTAATAACAGCAAACAAAGAAGAGATTAAGAATGAAAATGCAAAGGGTAAAGGGGGTCTTACCGAAAGTGATGAACTACAGCAATAATGAAATACGGTTAAGAGCAGAGTTGAGTTTTGCAGATGACAGTGGCAGAAGAGCGCCCCCGCCAGGAACCTATCACGGCTTTGTTTGTCACCGGAAGGCCCTCTTTTGGGCAAATATTCGGCTCCTCGCGACCGCGGCTTCTTTTCACTCCACCCCCACCGCAAGCAACGACGTCGTTCTATTAAACTAGAGCCTACAGGCTGCAGCAATGATGCATTGCTCCCAGGCCCAGACAGTAACGAGTTTCTTCGATTTTAATATTTTTTAATATTTCACTGACATTTACAGTAACAGGGAGAGTTTTCTTTTCCCCTCAAGGTCTGAACAATCTATGCTATAGCACTTCGTTAATCTTGGATCGCCTATCTCATTTCTCATTTATTCCCAACCAAAAAAAAAAAAACATAAAGTTGTTTAGTATAAAAAATATTCATTGGGAACAATAAATTACCAAACATATCAGAAATATTAAGACTCAATTGACAATAAAAAATTCCTAAACTCTCTTATTACAATTTACCTGAATGTAAAAAAATATACAAGAATTGATAAAATAAATGTTTGACTAATGCTAAATGATTAAAAAGCAGAGAGGATTACAAGGCTAAAAATAAAAATAAAGCTAATTGTAAAAGCTATATCATAAATCTAACAATTATAAGTGCAAAGCGTCAGTCTTTGGATTAGTGTTGGTGTTCTCATTTCTATGTTTTGATTCTCTATTTATAATAACAGCTATAGCTACAATAGTTACTTTCACAAAATTTAGAACATACCCACGAAATATCAAGGATTAACTATACACGATTTACTTCATAGCATGTTTTATCGTTTAACTACTAGTCCATGTCTTCAACATGCTCAAAGCTACCGGTTATGTCTTCACAAGATTTAATGTCTGTTTAGATTGTGGTGTCGTCCACCAATGGCTTGGCAGTGGTTCCGAAACTTAAGAGATTCAAGTGCCTATCATATAATTGAATTATTCTTGTAAGCTCTAGTCTTGTCCTTTTATTTAGATTGCTAATTGAGCCTTACTCTTTAGTTTCTCAACTTACTTTAGGTTATGGCTTTTGGCAAGCAATGTTTTAATTCTAACCTGAATAAAATATTAAAAAATAATTAAATTAATAAGAGATAAGAACCATCGTAATTCTTCTACTGAAAAAATCATTAAAAAACTAAATGATAAAATAATAATGACAGCGATATAAGAAGTAATTAAAATTATCTAATGCCATGCTTGGGAAGACCAAGGAAAGTGAAGCTTTTAAAATTATACAATGAAACGTATGATTGAGAATATAATAGAAATAGAAATTGGAAGTTACAATTGAGACTAGAGAGAGTACTATTTTAATTAAAGTTAAACATATGTTTGAGATGAAATATTTTTTGCCAAAGCAATCCATGCAATTTGCAAATTTGTAAAAGTGAAAAATAAAAAATAAATATGCTCTAGTCTTGGAGAGTTCCCATAACTTAACTTGCTTAAATTTTTTTTATATTAATAAGTATATAAATAAATAAATAAAAGAAGATATGATAAGTTGACGGCTAACACTAGAACTGTGCAAAACTCAAGTTGTCCTATCCAACTTAGTCTAACCCAAACAAGTCCAGTCTTGTCCAGTCCAAAAAAAAAAAATCTAAAAGACTAAAGAGATCAAAAAAACTAAACTAACTTCTCAAGTTGGACCAAACAAGAGACCAAGCTCTTATACCACTTTATCTAATTCAATTACATGAAATTATTTTAATATAATTTTAAGGCTAGAATATAGTTTTAGTTTTTTAACTTTATATAAGGTTTTAATGTGATCCTTTAATTTTGTAAAATATTTTTTTAATCTTTTAATCCTAACATTGTTATTTTCAAATGATTATTTTTTGTATCAATTATTGTTATTTTTAAAAAATTAAACTTAATATGTCAACATTTGAAAATATTTTGTCAATATTTAAAAGTTTAATATAAAAATTTATTAAGATAAAACTAATAATGTTAGGATTAAATGACTAAAAAGACATTTTATAAAGTTAAGGGATTAAAATAAAATATTGTGTAAAGTTAAAGAACTAAATGTATATTTTAACTTAATTTTAATTATGTTTAATATATTTAAATAGCTTGTAGTGTTCCCCTCATTCACATTTCACCGTTCTGTTTAATGTAATTTTAATTTAATTTACTACTAAATTGTTATTATAATGTATATTAAACATGTTTTTGAAGTTTGTTAGGTGTTGTTGCTGCTATGTTGAAATTATAAATTTGAATCAAGTGGATTGTAATTGATTTTTTTTTGTTATTAGATATTGTTATGAATTTTTTATTATTATAAGTATTTTTACTGTCTAAATTGAGCTTCTTAGAATGAAATCAATTGTTACCTCTCATATAGGAAAAAGAAAAGCTAAGTGAGTATTAAACTAAAATCAATCTCTTAATCCTATAGATTAAATTCATTCTTATTAATCTTCAATTATAATTAAATCAAATCGAGTTACGTGTTGTATAACTTAATTTTTTTTATAAAAGAGTTTAAATTTTAAATTAGACTATAATTTAATCTTATCTAATCTTTTGTATAGTCCTGACTAGCATTGCCTCTCAGTTTTCTTGCAAAAGCAAAAACAAAAACAATAAAAGGTAACCGAGAGAGGGAGTGAGGGAGCGTCGTCCATCGCGCCATGTCGGCACGGACCATAATGGGCAGTTGCAGGGTAATCCAAGGGAAGTGAATGCCCAAAAGTGTCATTTTTTTTTGGATACAACCCAAACGTGTTCCATTGCTGCATAAAATGATGCAAGTTTCGAGCAATAACGCTAATGGGGCTTTGGGGCTTTTGGGCTGGGCTTATTCTTGAGGCCTAAGGCCTTGCCTTCTCTTTTTATAGAAACGGACGGAAAACTTATTCGATCTATCCTTAATGCTCCATGCCCCAAATATATATATATATATATATATAGCCATTCATCCTGTATTTCGTGATTTTCTTGTCAGTTTGCTACAAGTATAGGAATTCATTCAAATGACCGTATAAATAGCTCTTCATGAGTTTTTCATATATTTGGAACTATTGACACAGACTGATCAAGGTTTATTTTGTATTGAAATGCACATTGAGTTTATTTTACACATATAAAGGATTTTAAATTCAAGTATGAGGAAAATTAGGAAATAAACGAGCATGATAATGCATGTGAAAGATGACAAGAGAAATGAACCGAAAAAAAGTGAAAGCTCAAAGTGACACGAGAGAATCAAAAGGGTGGGGATGAGGGCATAGATTCCGTAATCCCTATGGAATCTCTGGAAAAGAACAAGAAGTTGTCGGTTGTCAGAGAGTGGCCTCTCGGTCCAGAAAATGAAAGTCCATCTGCTTTGGTATCGTCATTGGTTTAATGGACAACATTCGAATAAAGAGGCTCCGAGAAGAAAATGCCAAGGGGATGCAGTTATGCAGTGGTGATGGTCCACATGACGAACCCTGGATTGTATATTTATATACAAAAATGATTGATAATAAGTTAATCATACAGTGGAGACACCGAATCTGTCAAACAACGAGAGTTTCCTTTTGCGAAATGAAATGAAGTTTCCATCCACTGCAAGGTTATAAAAACACCTTATGAAATTCTCAATAGTAAAGAATAAGTGTTAATTTTGGCCAAAGAAAAGTATATTAATTTGTGAAAATATCTAGTGGCCCAAGAAAAGTGGGGGTAAATCTAATGAAATGTCATCTCATTTATATTATATATTCTGTTGGTTCAGATTTTAGAGAATATATACTGCTTTCCACGTGGATGTTTGTCACCGCACATTCAAAAATAAATAAATAAATAAACAAAGGCCCTGTTAGCATGTTGGATTAGATTTTCTGTATTACAATTACATGATGCGGATCTACGTGTCCGCCTCGGGCTGTCTTCGAAAATGAGGGACAATTATAGATTAAATAAAGAACCGCGTAGATAATAAACAAGATACTTTCGCATCCAACACTCTCATCCGCACGAACCAGGTTGGTTCCGTGGTGCAATCATGACTCTTTAATTGGGGTGATACGGATTTGGCTTCTGTACCAGTGCCTAATCCCTAATAGTAAGCACTTATCACGGCTACTTGGTTAAAATTTATATCGATAATTTAAATAAATTTAAATTTAAAATTATTAATATAAATTTTAAATGATTCAAATGATACAAGCATCAAATCCAAACTCATGATATAAGCCTAATTGATCCATATTGCCGTCGACATTAAGGGGCTGCTTTAAATTTTAATACTTCGGCTGTCCCTATTTATTTTTATCAGTTGGTATTTTAAAATTCACTTACACAAATAAAAAAATAGATTTAATCCAAGTAAGTTGACGTTATTAAAATTATCTTACCTTTTTGGAAAACATCGCTAATTAAATGCACTAAATTCTGACCAAAATTTATTCATCTCTATTGTACTTTTCTTTTTAATCGGCCATTATTATTCAACAATAGCCACACTAGTGGTTTATCAAGGAAAATACTTGATAGATTTTGGAAAATTGTTTATAAATATATAAACATAAAAAGCTTATAAATTCAAAATGTGACTTGGAGGGAGTATTTGTGCTTTATTTATTTATGATGAAAGTATAAAATATTTATGCTTGATACCATGTTTGCTTTTATTAATCCTTGAATAAATAAACGTCTCAAGTTAGCCACTTAGCTTCTAGATTATACATCAGCGCTATTCACGTGGTGGGTTGCAAAATGCCAGCCTCTCCTACCCGAGGACGGAAGCCTCCCGTCATATGGCCTTCGTCTATATTATACTTCGCCATTCTCATTATTTCTCATTTCTCATTTTATAGGACTCTTTTTAGATTCATTTGATATTCGCAATGTACTAGAAATTTTTTATAAAAGGAACAAGTACTATTATTATATATTTACAGACCTGTCCACTTAAAATACATTAAATTTTTTGCTCTAATCATATATTTGGGCCGGGACGTGGGAAATTCAGTTAATACCGCTTGAATTGGCAAAAAAGAAAGAAAGAAAGTTAATACCTTTTGTGTTGATGATATACCATAAACTATATATATTATTTTTCACATGCATGTAAAAGGTATATCATTATAAAGTGATAAATTAATATTTAAATCATAATTGAGAAAGG